ATTTATACAAAATGAACAGAGGCGGATCCCATTGCTGAACTTCATTTCATGAATTAAAGGCCACTCGCTCTAATTCCTGAAATATTTTTCTAAATACCTTGAGGTTCAGATTTGTCATAATTCTTCATTTTGAAAAACCACCCATCATGAAAAAGGTAAAAGTGAAGAGATAAGCGACATTCATTAGTTCCCTTATTCCTGATTCAAACAAACTGTAAACAAAATGGAGCCTTGAAGGCAACTGACGTAACTGGACTACCAATATTATAAGTGAAGAATTTACGATCAAGGACCACCTTTTCGTCTTAATCTGATCTTAACGATTTATTATTCCAAGAGGCATTTAAATAAACCCGGTCACTCGATATCATCACTAAGACAGACTGCCGGGGACCCATCTTCCTGTTACACAACCCGGAGATAAGTCCTGGAAATTTTTTTTCTGAGCCACCACTCGTCATTTTTACTATCACAGTAGAGGGAGGCTTTGTTTTTATCTGTATGCTGCTAAACAACATATCCGAAAAGTTCTTCTCTTCTCAAATCTCGATGAAAATATTTAGACTGTTATTCGGGGGTGGGGTGGGGTTGGGGGGGGTACATGTAGAAGTGATTACATTTACTGAATTCGGACGTCCTACTGCTTTAAAATTATCTGAATGCTTTTTCATCACTGGTGCTTTTGAAGACCTCTCTAGTCCTTTCTGTTTTTTTTTTTCTATTTCCAACTCTTTCATTCCTTCTTTGGCTTACTGGGTCTAAACAATTCAAGCAATGTTTTAAGTTTTCGCGGTTTAATAAAATGTCACTATGACTTTTAATTTTATAGTTTGTTCTTTTGCTTACATTCTGTCACCATTCAGATATTAAGATTAGATATCGTACCCGTATCACAGCCTTTTGGTCGTAATAAATTGCCTTTCACTTCAATTTATAATCAATCAATTTTTATTGTGTGACGTTATTTGTGACATAACACAAATTATGTTTATTACTTAAATATCGCTAAATAAAAATTTCGAAAAAAATTTTCTCCAATTATTATTACTCTTAAAATCCTTTAAGAAAATAAGATTTTACCTGTTTATTCTGGGATCGCTATTCCTTACTTTAAGGCAAAAGAAAGAAAAAAACATAAGAGAGATGAAAACATGTAAAAGTGAACGCTATGGACCGGGTTAGGTAACGAAGCGGAAACCCCGAGGGGCAGCCGATCCATTAACTGAGAAGAAAACGTTGAAGAAGCCAGAAGTAATTTCTGGCGCTGATGATCCCGGATTAAATGAACTGATCTCCGCCCTTCACTTAGTGTGATGAGCTTCACTCGATTTTTTCACCGGTGGTCTTTTCATAGGTAAAGATTTCGAAACAAATTTACAAAATTTTCAGTGTTTTTTATTTGCCGCTGTTGTTTGTGTTTGAGTTGTAATGATATTGGCATAGTTGCTCGTTAAGAAGAATTGTTTTTGAAATCTGTACTGGTATTTATAAAATATAAAGGGTTATTTTTTTAAAACTATCTGACTCTTTCTCTGATTCATTCATTCATGCAATCAGACATCATTTATCCGTTGAGTAATTCTCTCTTTCCTTCCCTCCTCCTTTTTTCTGCAAAACATTCCCCATAATAAAGTCCCATCTCGTTACAAAAAATACCATGAACCAATGGAGTAATGTATTATGATAAGATATAAAAACGATCCATGTCTCGGCTGGGGATTCCGCCCTTTAACGGTGCAAGCGTTTTTATTCCTGCTGATTCTATTAAAACGTGGCTCGCTAAAACGTCCTCGCGCTATTTTCTTCTTTTTTTTTCTTTACGCGCTGGAAAAAAAGCCAACAGCTTTGAGCGGTACGGTCGTTGCCACAGCTGCCGAGAGGATAACATTTCTTTTTCTAAACGAACATATTTCGGCACTAACGCCTCGAAGCTGAGCTTACAAAAACAGGGTCTTTCAGGCACGAAATGTTCAAAGGCTACCGAATTGCCAAAGAAAACTGGACCCAAATCGAGCCACGAACTGTGTATATGTGTGCATCTGTCTCCAGCCGGTGTGATGTGGCTGAAATCACATTACTACGTTTTAGCAACAGCGGGTTAATAAAGGTTATCCTTATTTAGAAATAAATACTAATAGAAGAAATAATATTCTTATTAAATTGCAAATGTTTGCAATCGTTGCTCAGGTTAATCTTTTAAAGCAGAAGTTGCATTTTGATTTTGAATTAAAAATGCTGGCGAATTTTGACGATAATCAAGCAAGTTATCTGATGACGAACACCCAAACTACCTGTCTGTTCATATTAATTTCAGTACATTGAAATACTGAACCTGCAAGGATTAAGATGTACACAACAAGTTTGCAATGTTGCCGAAGCCATAGCTATCGGGAAAATCTTCGGGGCCATTTTCTTAGTTACAAAACCCTGACGACAACGAAACAATCCGAGCACTGGATCGAGCCGAAAAATCCCCCACGGGCGTGAGCGCGTTTCTTCCACCCGGCGACCCCACACGCAAGTTAACCCGCAACGTGTACGAAGGCGTGAACCGGATTATTGCGGCAAATCAGGCAAAAAAGAAGCAAATTCTTTAATACGAGGTCTGCTTCGCGAGTCGAGAGAAAAGGAAAGAGAAATAAAACCCTACCCGGGCCTAAAGCTGGAAGCTTGGACTATGGGATTTCGTCTGAAAGCTAAATATACGCACTGATATGAGAAAAGATAATAGAGGTCTTGCTGGGCACGGTGTAGCAAAATTTAGTGAACAAACTAAGAGTTACTCTAATCTTCGGACCCTAACCTGTTAACGCAGTTGTTCCGATGATTAAGTATAATTAAATTCAGGAAAGTAAACTTTTGCTAAAGGTAGGCACGCAGAAGTAATAAATCGGTGAGTTCTAAATTGTTTTAGCGAAAAATGGTTTTATTTCTTGATAACAATTTAATGTGTAACGCTTTTAATTAAAACTTCCTTAAATTAACAGACAATGTTAATATCATCTGACATTTTAGTCTTAAGCACTATGTGAACAAAGAAAAGAAACCGAAATCTGATCACAAACGATCATTCTACCCGACAAAAAATATCGGACACGAAAACCATTTAAATATAAATTTTTTGGAAAAATATATTTTAGATTCAGTTCAGCGTGTGCCTGTTCTCCGGTTAAGTGTGCCATTCGGTTGAAAGCAAGTGTTTTACATGCCTAATTAGAACCGTTTATCTGTTCAGCGCCTATGTTTATGATTTTCTTAACACAGTTTAGATATGAATTACAAAAATTTCGACGGTTTATAGTGGATCCCTGTTCAAATAAACGTTGAAGGACGATCCGTAAACCGGCGACGGCGAACATTTACTACAGGGATTGCGGTGTGAGTTTTATTTACTACGCGTTACAGCATTACCAGTGTTGGAATTCTCTCCGCTTTTTGCCCTCTTCTCTTTCTCCACCCACGTTGAGCCTTCGGTGACTCTGTATTTACTCTCAAAATCCAACACCTAAATATTAGTAAGAAATGTAAATTGTATACCGTATTACGCGTGGAGGAGGGATTCGTCTAACGCCAAAAGTACACGGTAAGAGGTTTTTTATTCACTGTTTTGCTCGCCGTTTGGTGGTGACAGTTTTCTGCAAACAATTTTTGGCCACTTTTTGACCAAGTCTCTCAATAATGTTTAGATCTGGTTAATTTTCATTGATAATTCAAACGTTCATTCATAAATATTATACAATATATTATATAAACAGCAAAATCAAACGATTTTTACTGTGTTTACAAGATTTAAATTATGGTAACAAAATTATTAAGTGTGCAAATAGTATTAATTCCAGATATGGAACAGAAGCTGAGCATGCTTCATAATTTCCACCGTACATTAAAAGTGTGAAAGGCCCTAAATGTTTCAACATTTTGTAGAAATTTTGTATGAAAACAAGAATATATGTTAGTCGATCCTTTTTTGCTTCTTTCAAAGAAATCCATTTCAGAAATATTGGATTTTTTTTTTACCTAATATCAGTTTTCTTTAGTATTCATGTCTTATTAAAATTTTAAGGGAAGCGGTGGGGTATAACTATTTGAAACTTCGGACAACTTTCAGTTTAAAAACTCAATTTTAGACCACTCATAAAAAAACAAAAGCACACCAACTTGACCATGATACCACTCATTATCGAAATTATCTTTTGAGTTTTGATGGAAAATCCTTAAACGTTGGAGTCGCAACATAAGCACCTCGAACCACCGCAATTTCATAAGCCGATAATACGAGATTTGCCCCTACATCCCTCACTGACATTTCGCACATTTAAAACTTGGGTGGTTGTTGGTAGTTACGATTTACTTCTGTCTCTCGATCTTCTCTTGTGAAAATGTCAGAGTTAGCGATTAAGTTCCCTTTTCAATAATTGGATAGAAGCGAACTTACAGTAACCCGGAAAAAATCGACAGCATGTTTGCAAATCGATCTTGTGTAAGATCGGGATTAGCCTGTAGTTTTTATGTCAACACAAAATCTGTGTAAAATTTGAGAATTCCCCGATTTGTTTTTGTCCTAGATATAAAACCGACCGAAGGTGAATTACACGTAATAAATGTAGATCTTTTAGTGTGTTCTAGGGAAGTAAACAGGTTTTAGTGTTGCTTGCCTTCTCGATACATATAAAAATCCAGACATGAATAGAAGATCAAGGTACGATACACTGCCTACAATATACTATACAATATACAAAATAGTTTTAAAGAATAATATATGTTTGCATGGTTGACATTTTTAGATGAAAGATATTTGAAGGCGTTTTCCCCACTAATTTTCATGGATTTTGACTAAAAATAATAATGTAATAAAAGGACGCAGTTCTATTACACACTGCAACAAAGGCTCAAGAAAATAATATTCATTTCAATAAAAAAACAGAAAATTCCTACAGTGGTGTATAACTTCACCTAAAATGTCAACCCTACTGATACTGAGAAAAAGACGTTTTCTTTACCTGTGACCGCTGCAGATACGGCTAGATCCATAGCCTCTCCGTTTGTTATGGGGCCCTTGCCATAGAGACTGGTATCGCTGCCTACGGGAGAGAGGCTCTGCATGGACCCCGTACTGCCACTGGGACTGAGCGCCTGCTGCTTGATGGGGTACCTCTGTGACCACAGGGACGGGCTGCCCATGACAGAGTGGTGGCTGTGACTGTCAAAAACGTTCCCGGGCGTCATACCACCCGGGGGAGACACTGAGTTACTTGTCGTTGCCATGGAAGCGTAGGGAGCCTCTGGGGCGGTGGTGGCGTAGTTTGAGGGGTAGTGCGGGCTCATGGCCATGCAGGCGTTGCTGGAGTACTGTTGCTGGTGGTGGTTGGCGTAGTTCATGTTCATCATGCTGTTGGCGTCGTATTGCGCGTGCGACGTGTTCATGGCGTTCATGGCGCACGCCATGTTCATGTGGTTCTGCATGCCTTGGTTCTGATGGTGAAGCATGTCATATGGTCCACCCAAACCGGCCATGCTGTTGAAACCGAACGGTTTCAGTGCCTGGCACTTACGACGAAACCCTCGGGGACGGCGACGGAACGAACCCTCTTCGAACATGAATTCTGCTGCCGGGTCTATAGTCCAATAATGCCCCTTGCCTGGCCTCCCTAGCCCTTTAGGTAACTTGATAAAGCACTCGTTCAGAGACAGGTTATGCCGTACTGAGTTTTTCCAGCCTTGGTAGGAGCCCCTGAAAAACGGGAATCGTTGCTGGAGAAACTGGTAGATCTCGCTCAGAGTACAGCGCTTGGTAGGGGCGGCCTGGATGGCCATTACGATCAGTGCTATGTAAGAATAAGGCGGCTTCTCCGAGCGTCTGACCCCCATAGCTCCCTTCTTTTTTTGGCTGTTAGGGGACGCTGGTCCATTAATGTCTGTTGTAGTGCTGGGAGCTTCATCTCCGGAGTTTTTCTCCTCCGTTGAATCCATCATTTCAATTTTGGGTTGTATTTTCTCCATGTTATTGCGAGCGTCCATTTCTGCCAGTTGCGAGCCGGAGTGATCCATGGCGAATATATCTGAGCGGGCGAAGTGCACCAGAATCTCTCTTACTCCGTTGGAGTTCTTGTAGCGCGTCGCTGAAAGTTATGTACTTAATTTCAAGCGGTAATCTAGCAGAAAATGGCTTTCACGAGATGCAGCCCACGCTTGGTTAGTCAGGAAATCTGGCGTAGGGAGCAATCGGCAACACTGACAAAATCCGTCTAATTGTACCAACTGTGTTATTTAATCTTTAAACCTTGACCAAAGACGCAAAAATAAAAACAGGCCTAATTATTCTCTTCGTTAACTCCGGCATCCACTCTCGATGTTTTGTAAACGATAAAAAAGTTTTGATCTGTCAGAACACTAACCACATGCGCCGTCTTAGCTTCAGAGGTCTACCGAATGAATGAATCTTTGTTCCTCAACCAATCTCTGCGCTGTGTTCTCTTCTTAGCTGTCAAAAACAACACTAAGGTCTGGCAGACGATAAGGATGCTTTAAAGCCAGCGCCAAGAACGGAGCATGCTCAGAAAGGTGACACGTCCCAGTAAAAGCCACGCGATGCGTTATCTCCCCCTCTCGGGGCCCTCCCATTTACTGCAAGAGGGTGCGAAGGTGCGAACGGATCGTCTGCTTTTACGCGCCATAAATTTATTGCAGCAAATTAAGATCTGAAAATAGTCACATCTCCATCAAAATTTCGAAGAAACGTATCAAAATTTCATCAATTTTGACTTTATTGAAATCATAAAGTCTGGACCCAGTCCCTTTTTGACAGATTAATCACCCCTCTAAAAGCATTTAGTAATTAATCTTCCTCAAATTCCCCCCGCATTACGCAGCTGGTGCTGAGAGGCTCTGGTCGCCTCCCACATCGAGCAACGTGAGACCGCGCGAGGAGAAGCCAGCTTAATGGCAGTATTTGTTTTAACTCTATCTTCAACAAATAATTGCCAACTTTCCCTTTACCTGTGCTGAAAACTACATCATTGTTTCATTGTATTTATTGATATTGATGCAATGTGGGGCCTCTCCGGTCATAGAGATATAAACATGCAGGAATCAAGCCCGCGGCGAGCAAAGAGAGTTGGGGAAAAACGTTTTCACTCAAAGTTTTTGATGCAATAACTGACATTTTAAGCTTTTTCGTCGATTCGGTTGCCTTTGCCGGATGACTTTCAACAAATGATTTCCGCTTGGAACAGGTTTCTGCAACAAACATTCAAGCTGAAAAAAAGAGACGAAAAAAAAACTGAGAGGTATCCTTGAAGCTTCCCGTATTCAAGTCACGTTTCACAGATCAGCCAAAAAATAAGTTTCAGGAAAATGTTTCAATAAAAGATATTTTCACTTTCCTTATGATAATACGTAGGCGAGTGCCGTATCGTTGATCTATATAGCTAAAATCATAATCAATATTGCAAGATAGGTAGGCTAACACTCAATTTGAAAGAAAGTTATAAAGTTTTTTAAAAAAGTAGATAAATATTCAATGAAAGTACACTATGAAAGTTTATAACTGCTTCATAGCATTTGTTGATGAAAATGTTCATACAACATCTATATGAAATCAAAAAGCAACCAGGAGAAAAAAAACAGACACAAATCGTTTTTTAAAGAACAAAACTGACAAAAAACACAAGGTATAGCAAGGGAATGAAGTTCGCTGAAAGCAAACGTCAATCACAAAAATGCGCAAGAGAAAAAAAGTAGAATCAACACGTTTCAGAAGAAAACGTTTTCCAAACTGACCGACCGACAAATCCAGCCCGTCACGCGCACACCGCGCTAACTAAATACGACGCGAACTACAACCCAGATCTATTCGTCAATCATCACTGCCCCGGATTCTCGCGCAGCAATTTGTCAAAGATGGCAGGGTAAATTTTCTTGCAATTGGTGCCCCCTTTCTTGGTGGCCCTAGCGAGGACCAGCTCCCGTTACCAGAGACGGGCTGATGAAGGTTGTCACATGACGTGGGGAATAAATTCATCATATTTGTGTTTTTTCATTTTGATACTTGTATTATTAGAATTGAAACAGCTTCAGTGAGTTAGCGGAGAATGGGGGGGGAAGAGAAGAGTTCGAAGATTTTTATTTCTGAGAGAATTGTAATATAATTTTTTTTATAATGCTTGCATTAAGTTTTGACGCAGTTGACGTGCCGTTTACTACTTCCTCAAAAAATTGTCATATTTTGATTATTGAATGTTCTGGTTTTCCAAGAACAAACAGATGATATTCAGTTGGGGAATCTCACACTTTTTTAAAGAATAAAAGAAAGACGAGAAAACCTATGAATGTTTGTATTACATATGACCATTCTACCATATTTAAGAGGAATTTCTTTTTGAAAATAATTGCTCAGTTTTGCTAGCGATCATATCACAGTCTTCCCCTTGTAATCGTCTGCTCGAAGTCCGCTTGAAGTCGTCTGCCCTAGGTGTACTAGCCTCCCATCGTCTGGCAGACTGATAAAGCTTTTATCAAAATATTCCTGTTTTGCCAAATAAAATCTGGTTTTTATAATGTTTTGGCGTGTTTTTAAGATTATATAATATATTTTATGGAGTGACTTTTCTCAAGAGACCTGTTTTAAGGTCCGAATACTTCCCAATTAAAAAAAGTGAGTGAGATATTTCGCATGATTCAATGAAACAATCTCACTCAGTACAATGTAGGTGAAGTTTTTATTTCGAAAATATAAAGTTGCGTTCGAATTAATTCCCCTAGTTCGAGACCTTGACGGTGGTTCTCGTGTTCTTCACTAATGTTGTGTCCAATACAAAACATTAAGATCAAATAAACGTATTCTTTGCAGAAGAAAATTAGCTGAATTGAATTAGTTTTGCTAGTCTAGTGTTTTTGGGTGAAATTCAATAAAGAAAACCTTGGCGTCAATTAAGGCGCCATACAAATTACAATCTCTTTGCACCGAGAGCCACCATTTCGAGATTTCTTTGACGAGAACGCCTAACAAAGCCCGGAGAACAATTAATTAAATATCGTAACACAGTACGAAAAACAATGATTATTTAGACTTTTGATTAGTTTTTCTGGGGAGGTAGATCCAATATGTGGAGTGATATAATGTCTAAGTGGCACAAAATACTGCGTCAATCACGTGAAGGTCAGGGGTCAGGAGCGGGTCGAACCGAAGCTGCATTGTTTAAGGTAATTAAAGTTGACACCGAAAGCATGCCAAGCCGAACGAGGGGTTTTAATTACCGCGTGCCACACGCAGCGTCGAGCAGAGATTTATAGAATTCTTAGACATCTCGCCCCGATTCATATCTTGACGTTTATCGTTAAGATGCCCTTCTCGGATTTTAGATCCCGATTCGCCCAAATTCAACATTTTTTTCTAGATAAAACCCTCACCTACTTGGTGTGTCAAAATGTAAAATGCACAGTACTAGGAACATCTTTGATATTTAATTAATTATTTTTTTTATAAAAAGACATGTTAGTATACAACGAGGCTATCTTGGAGAGAAAAATCCACTATATCTTTATTACTATTTCTCGAAACAATGGACGAATGAGTCACCGACTCTGTCCACAAAAGCAGCGTAGTGAGCAAAGCTTTGGCAGACGATTCTAAAATTGACATCTTTCTCCTTTAACAAGAATAGACTGGCCACTCTTTACGGCCAGATAAGAACGCTTGAGTGACCGGCAATGAAAATGCCCAACACCAAGAGCCGAAACAAGCCTCGTGTCTGTCGTCGTGGGTTGATAGCAGGGATAATCTGATCCCCTCGGTGGCCATATTGTCTTTCTTCCACGATGGCACTTGGCGGGAACATCGCCCAGGTGATAGCAGACGAGATCGATTTCTGTCCACTGAAAAATGTTGTTTGCAGGAGAATGATACGCATCACTGGAATTTCTTGCTCCTTTTTTTTTCTATTGAAATATTTTTTCATTATTTATTGTGGAAGGATATTTTTTTAATCGTAGAGTTAGCTTAACATTTTCTCATTGCATAGTCCTTTTAACTGTTACTAATGCCCCATTCACTGTACCTTCCGAAAAGCCTGGATTATTCAAATGCTAATTTCAGGCGAAAACAATATTCGCTTCCCTTTTCACAGGTAGTTTAAAATTCTATAAAGTAATATTTTGTAATAGTGAATACTTTTCAAACTGGTACATTTGTATAGATGTCACAGAAAGGTGATGACATACCTCGCTGTTGCTGAAATGCGTTTTATTTATATTTACAGACAACTTAAGGGTTTGGCATTCTGGAACAAGTCCCACTCCCAGAAACCCGCCCATTCATTTACTAGGAGAAATTCCTGGATTATATCGCGTGTAAACAAGGCTCGGCCTGTAGATATATACAAAGAAAGCACTCATCTTTGCCATTAATTTTGTAAAGTGAGAAATAGTGCTTGAGATATCTTAGCAAGAAGTTTGCAAAGTTTGTGTGTGCATTTACAGGTTTATGATTACAATTTTGTCTTTAAAATTAATGTATACAAACTTCCCTTCAATATATACAGTCATAAGTGTGTACATGTACATGTACATATTTACGTAATAAATTATTATTATCAACATTATTACTTGTGTAATCATTACTCATTTATCCAAATGATGATTAAAATAAAGAAGCCGATGAAGCAAATTGTCCATTTTTTATTAGTTCCTTAGGTCTGACCCGCTTTTGGCATCAAACACTTTTTTCTGAAGGTAGACAATTTCAAAAATAAAAAGGAAAAATCATTTTGTCTTCGGGAAAAATTAGTGTTGGTACAGTACAACATAAACGGGTATCGGAATACATCACAAGAAGACAAATGAAACCGAACACTGAAAATGATTAAAAAATACACTGTGCGAAATGTATAACAAACGCAATGTGATACCCTTAAAGAGCATATGAACGGCAGAAGACTCCCCAATAACAATATGAAAATAAAGTTTTTGCTTTTGGCATTTTCAAAATAATTATTATACTATATATAATATAACACACATCAGTTTTTTTTTCGAAGAAATAAAAAAGAAGTTAGTTTCAAAAACGGTTTATCCCAGTAAGGCGACTATGCGCTGCCTTGCCGATACCGGTGACAAGCGTTCCCCTATTCTGGGTCGCCATGGTAACCACTTGAGGTTGTTTTTATCGTGGTAGAGCCGGTAAATGTCGCACGGTGATCTCTTGTTGATGAAAGATTGAGAGCACCTTGTAGATGAACCCAAGATGCACCTCCACACAATTTAGATATCACTTTACTTTTGGCAGCCTTCTCCCCGTATTTTGACAACCTACGTTCAAATATTTATCAGAATTCCTCTGAAGGAGTTACGCTGTTAATTATTTCTTCTAAGCGTACAAAGTGTAGCAAAATTGGCCTCCAAAACAGTCGTGTTTTTTTCCTCACTTTTTCAGCTTCCGTCAGAGAACTGAATTTGACCAAGATTTAAAGCGCGTTAAAAATG